AAGTATCTTACAGGACTAAGGAAAGGCCTTTGGGAAAATTGATAAAGCCCTTGAATATTATACAGAAAATGACCTTCTTTGTGATTACAGTACAAAACTTAAAAATGAAGTAAGGATACAATATCCTGCTGTCATAATTTTACTGGAAAGATTAGGCAAAAAAGACTGTATTCTAAGAATTTGCATATAGTTAAATAAATGTAAAAAAGGCTTATTTATTTTCATGATTTTTTTGTTGTTCTTTTTAGATAAATACTCAACACTTTATTTCCCTTGTACAATGAAATATTGGTACCTGTTTTAAAATATTTCAATTTCTTTTTTATTTTTTTTTTTTTTATCCTCATCCGAGGACATTTTTCCATTTTTTGTACAGACAGAGTGGGAGGGAGAGAGAGGAAGAGAGAGAGAGGGAAACATCGATGTGAAAGGAACACATCGAGTGGCTGCCACCCGCACGACCAACCAGGGCCGGGGACAAACTGCAACCGAGGTACGTGCCCTTAGCGGGAACCGAACCCGGGTCTCTCCGGACCGCAGGCCGACGCTCTAACCGCTGAGCCAAACCGGCCAGGGCTAAAATATTTCAATTTCATTTGCTGTTATCCTTTACCAGTTGTCTTCAGATAATAAAGACCTCAGTTTATCTGGATGTTATCTAGAGCTACTATTGTCATATGTTGGGGTTTGATGGGGACATATGGAGTTATATAACTCAGAAACTCATAGATTTCAGTGTTTATGACGGAGTGTCTCCTGTTTATTAGGGACCATGGAGTTAAAAACATATTACAATTTTTAACTGATTAGGCTAGACTGAGTTTCATTTGAGAGGATTGGACCAGATCTCTAAGAACTTGTCTAAAACTTTACTTTCTTTTCATATGCTTACTTTGGGATAAGAACTGTAGGTGCTTAACTGGCCTCCCACTCTACATTCTTATTTTTTTAAAAATAATTTACTCTCTTTACCAATAATTCTCTAATACCAACTTTAAAAAATTTTTTATTTTAGAGAGAGAAGAAGGGAGTGGGGAGGAGGGGGGAGACATTAATTTGTTGTTCCATTTATTTATGCATTCATTGGTTGATTCCTGATTGGGGATCAAACCTGCAATCTTATCATATTGGGATGATGCTCTAATCAACTGAACTACCTGGCCAGGGCTCTAATACCAAAATTAACAGATAAAACTTTGAGGCAAAAAATGAGAAAACTAAAGTCAGAGTATTGAATTTTTCACTAAGGTAAATTTATTCAATTCAAAATTACTGGTTTTTGTTTTAAGATTATATTCTTTCTACATTATTGGTTTTAAAATATGTTTTCATGTAACAGTGGTAATTTTTCAACAGTCTTACTGACAAAAATTTAAAACCCAATCCCCCACTTTATTTTATTTTTTATGAAAATCCAAGGGTTTTGGAACCTAGCCACCTCAGAGACCTTTCTGAAATGCTTATTTAATCATGTCACTCCCTTTCCTTAAACCCTTCAGGGAAGACTACTATGGCCTCCAGCAGTATAATCCCACTGGAGTTTTCAATCCATATGTGCATTAAGTATTTTCTCTTGACTAAACAAAATACCTTGTTATATTTTTCCCCTAAATTTTCAAATTTATGGTTACTCTTATGATAATGATCAATTTATTTTAAAAGTTTGACTGGCTTTCAGTAGCCTTTTGTCATTGCGTTTTTTGTGATTATATAATTCCGGTCATGTGTGGAACGCATTAAAAAAACCTCACCAGTAAAGGTAAAACTCTAAGGGGAAAAATGGATTTGACAATATAATAACTAAAATTTTGATATAGTAAAAAAACATAAACCACATTGAAAGATAGGAATATATGTGGAAAATACATTTAACACACTGTATTTGAAAAACTAAGATATACAATTGTTACTATAAAGAGATTTTATAACTCATTAATAAAAATAATACAGCAAAAGGAAAATTAGTGAGGAACATGAACAGCAATTCACAAAAAAAATAATCCTCCAATTAATATGAAAAAAGTTAATCTTTATTAAAAAGTAAACTTAAAACGAGATGTTTTTTTCCTAGTACTTAGAATTTTTAAAATATCTATGTGGCAATGGGTGGGAGAAATAGACACTCTCTTAATTGCTGGTGGAACTGTATATTATTAGTATGTTCTTTTGAAGATAATTTGGCTATATGTATCAAAAGCCTTTTTTAAAAATCCCTTTTTACTTAGCAATACATTTTTCTGGGAATGTACTTAGAAAAATAACTAGGGATTTGACTAATATTTAGCTGTTAAAATATTTTTCGTAGCATTTTATAATAGTAAAAAAAATGGAAGCAATCTAAACATCCAACAATTAAAAAAGAAAAAAGAGCCCTGGCTGGTTTGCTAAGTGGTTAGAGCATCGGCCTGCAGACCAAAGAGATGCGTGTTCAATTCTGGTCAAGGGCATGTACCTCGGTTGCAGTTCGGTCTCCGGTCCTGGTCAGGGTCACGCGGGAGGCAGCCAGTCAGTGTGTCTCTCACGTTGATATTTCTCTCTCTCTCTCACTCTCTCCCTCCCACTCAGTCTGAAGATAAATGGAAAAAATATCCTCTGCTAAGGATTAAAAAAAAAAAGAAAAGAAAAAAGTTTATGGTTTATTCATACTGTGAATGCTACTCAGCCATTAAGAATGATTTTGTTGTCCAGCCTGTGTGGCTCAGTGGATTGAGTGTCGTCCCGTGGACTGAGAGGTCCCAGTTAAATTCCTGGTCAGGGTACATGCCCAGGTTGTGGGCTCCATCTCCAGTAGGGGGTGTACAGGAGGCAGCTGAACGATGTTTCTCTCTCACATTGATGTTTCTCTCTCCATTCCTCTCTAAAAAAAATCAATAAAAACATATTTAAAAATAAAAAGAATGATTTTGTCATCCTGGCTGGTGTTGCTCAGTGGTTAGAGTGCTGGCCCACAGACCAAAGGGTTTTGGGTTCGATTCCCAGTCAAGGGCAAGTATCTGGGTTGCAGGTTCGATCCCCAGCCCTAGTTGAGGCATGTGTCTCTCACACATTGATGTTTCTTTCTCTTTCTCTCTCTCTCCCCACTGCCCTCCTTCCCTTCCACTCTCTCTAAAAATCAATGGAATAAATATCCTCAGGTGTAGATTTAAAAAAAAGAATGAACAATCCCCTAAGGAGTGGGGAGGTGGGGGAGGGATGAACCACAGAACTTATATGCATGTATGCATGAACAGTGGACATGGACAACAATCAGGGGAAGGGGCAGGGAGGGGGGGGGAGGAGGGAATCAGTGGGGGGAAAAAGGAAAATCATCTGTAACAAAAATTAATCAATAAAAAATAATTAAAAAAAAAAAGTTTGTCAATAAATCTTTAATGATATGCAGAATATTTATGTGATAATATTAGGTTTGAAATATAGGAACAACAGTTATTTTTGGTGGTGAATTTTTTTTCCATTAAAAAATATTTTTAGTGAGTATGTGTTTATAATTAAGAAATAATTATTGAGCCCTGGCCGGTTTGGCTCATGGTTGGAGCGTTGGCCGGCGGACCAGAGAATCCTGGGTTCAGTTCCCGCTAAGGGCATGTACCAAAAAAAAAAAAAAAAAGAAATAATTATTGAGAATCATTATAGACTAAATCTGTGATAGATTCTCTACTTGTCTCTCTTGCATACACAGCACTCCTAAAAAGCCTCTGAGTACCTCACCCTTACATGCCTCTGTAAGAGTTCCTGCTCATCTTTTAAAGTCAGTTCAAATGACACCATCATGAAGTCTTGCCTAGACACTTTGTTTTCTTTGCATATTCCACACAATTATCTTGTATAATTATGTATATGTATTTATAATATCTTTTCCACTAGGCAGAGGAATCCTTTCATTCATTCATTTAATAAATATTTGTGAGTGTTTATTATGTGCCTGGCACTGTGTGTTGGGTACTGTGGATCTAACCATGAACTATGCAGACAGGTTTCCCCACCTTCAAAGAGATAGCCTTGCAAAGTATAGTGTAATAAGCTTTGTAATAGAAGTATAGAGTTCTCTGAAAGATTAGACGATTCATAAGTCTACCCCAGGCTGGACAGAGAGGGAAGGCTTCCTGGAGGGAATGATAGCTGAACATTAAAAAAACCCACAAATATTAGTCAGGTCAAGGGGTAGTAGGAGGTGGTTTCACGTAGCAGAAACAGCCTAAACAAAGGCCTGAAATTTTAAAATTGTGTCTAGTTTGAGGAAGATCATTTTGGTGTATGTGGATTTGAGGTTGATTTTTAATAGGAAATAATTTTTTTTTTTTTATCCTCACCCGAGGATATTTTTCCATTTTTTGTACAGATAGAGTGGGAGGGAGAGAGAGGAAGGGAGAGAGAGAAACATCGACGTGAAGGGACACATCGAGTGGCTGCCACCCGCACGACCAACCAGGGCCGGGGACAAACTGCAACCGAAGTACGTGCCCTTAGCGGAAACCGAACCCGGGTCTCTCCAGACCGCAGGCCGACGCTCTAACTGCTGAGCCAAACTGGCCAGGGCTAGATGTGTTCTAAATAGAAAGAGTTGTTACTTGTAACAGAGTAAAAATTTCTCATAATTTCGAACCCTTTATGCTTAACCATGTCTTCCCTAGAAATCAAGTCTTCAAAATCTCCTATTACATTGTTTCTCACCATTTGTGTTTCCTATACAGATTTTAAAGTTCTTTTTTTCTTTAGCACTGTACTCTAAACATCTATGGCTGTTTTCATTTCCAAATACAAATCAATATTGTAAAACCAATGGATAAAATTTTGATATGGCCCTCATTAAATTATAGTTTCATTCCCTGTGATTATGTGAATTATGCTTACTGTTTATTGTATATCAGAATCTTTGGGTTTATACAGTGAGTTTGTAGTCCTTTTTTGTTTGTTTTCTTGATTAGGTAATATAGAAACTGTTTCTCAAGATGTCTTAAGTAAAAGATTAAATAAACTAGTTTTTCTTTTCTGCTTTGTAGATTTCTTGATAACCGGCTGTTTGCTACCTGCTCTGATGACACTACAATAGCACTATGGGATCTGAGAAAATTGAACACCAAAGTATGCACTTTACATGGGCACACTAGCTGGGTGAAGAACATCGAATATGATACTAATACAAGACTCTTAGTAACATCAGGATTTGATGGAAATGTCATTATTTGGGACACCAACAGGTTTGTGAATAGGAGATCATGTTAGGATTATAAACAAAAAAATTTTTTTACATGGTATACAAATTCAGTGTTCTGTCTCAGCTTTTATATCTCTTTAGGAGAAAGAAACTGGTTTTGTGAGAAACAATCAAAAAGTGATTCCATCTTTTGTTACTTGCATTTAGTCATATATTGCAACAAAAAAAAATGGAGAAAATTACATGGAAAGGAGATCAAGTAGCATAGTTAATGATGAAAAATGGTTTATGAGTTTCCTGAATTTAAGGAAAACTATTTTATTTCTTTTGTGGAATTGACATGTTTTTCACTCATTGGTCCTTTAATTCTAAATCTATTTATTTTGTTATTTTTGCACTGTATTTTCATCATTAAAAGAGTAGTCCGTCTCTCTGTTGGAGTGGTACTGATCCCTAGGAGAATGTTTGGAAATAATGTGTGGTACAGTTCTAGTTGTCACTGTGGGAGAAGAGGGGAGGATTTCCACTGCCATTTAGTCAGCAGGGATAAGAGTTTCTAAACATCCTGCAGTACGTGGGACAGTTTGCACAATGGACCAGTTGTCTCACCTGAAATGTCAGTAACACCTCTGTTGTGACACACTTTAATAAACTGTCTCCTTATAGAGAAATTATTTAAAGAGTTGAGATTTGAGAAATATCTGTTGCTAGCTATGGTGAAATAACAATATAGTAATACACCAGGATCATTTCTGAAATATTCTTTTCAGAGGCCATATGTAAAAAGAGAGAGGATATTCTTTTTTGTTGTTGTTGTTAATCTTCACTCGAGGATATTTTTTCATTGATTTTTAGATAGAGTGGAAGCGAGGGAGGGAGGGAGAGAGAGAAAATCAATGTGAGAGAGACACATCGATTGGTTGCCTCCCACAGGACCCCGACTGGGGCCAGGGATTGAACCTGCAACGCAGGTGCTGCATGCCCTTGTCCGGGAATCAAACCTATGACCCTTGGACTGATGGAGAGGAGATATTTTTCAAGATTTCTAGTTACGCATGTTCTTTGAGCAGAAGATAGAGCTACATACTGATTATTTTAGACTAAGGCAAACATACCTGTTACATTTTAGAAATATTTTTAAAATAAAATTTGAATAGGAATATAAATAACTTCCAAATTAGTAGAAGGATAAAAGTTAATGAAACACGATCAATACAATAGAAGCAGAGAAGATGAGGGGAACATCATTTAAAAAAAAAACAGGTAGCCCTGGCCGGTTTGGCTCAGCAGTAGAGTGTCAGCCTGTGGACCAATGAGTTGCGGGTTTGATTCTGGCCAAGGTCATGTACCTTGGTTGCGGTTTGTCCCCGGCCCTGGTCAGGGTCGTGCAGGAGGGAGACAATCAATGTGTTCCTCTTTTGTCGAAGTTTCTCTCTCTCTCTCTCTCGCTTTCTCTCCCTCCCACTCTATCTGAAGATGAATAGAAAAATATCCTTGGGTGAGGATTAAAAAAACAAAACAGGTAGCCCTGGCCTAGTGGCTCAGTTGGTTGGAGCGTCGGCCCATCACCATAAGGTTGCAGGTTTGATTCTTGGTCAGGGCACATACCTAGGTTGCGGATTCGATCCCCAATCTGGTTACATTTGGGAGGAAACCAATGGATGTTTTATTGCATGTCGATATTTCTCTCTCTTCTCCCTTCTTCTCTCTTTGAAAATCAGTAATAAGCCCTGGGCGGTTTGACTCAGCGGTTAGAGCATCAGCTGATTAACCAATGAGTCCTGGGGTTCATTTCTGGTCAAGGACACGAACCAAAACCGTTTGACCCCAGCCCTGGTCAGGGTCATGCGGGAGGCAGCCTGTTGATGTGTCTCTCTCACATTGACGTTTATCTCTTTCTCCCTCTTTCCCTCTCTTTCCCTCTTTCTCCCTCTCTTTCACTCTATCTGAATAAAAATAAAAATATATCCTTGGATGAGGATTAAAAAAGAAAATCAATAATAAAAATATATCCTTGAGTGAGGCTTTAAAAAAACATTTTTAAACAAAACAAAACAAAATACCAAGTAAATTAAGAAGCACAAAAATATGGTAGGCAGATAATATAAATATCAATAATCACAATAAATGTATATGGACTAAACTAACTAGTCAGTTAAAAGATAATATTAAATTGGGTTATAAAACAGAACCCAACTATATGTTCTTTGTAAGGGATATACTCAAAACATAGAAACACAGAAAGTTTGAAAGTAAAATGATGGGGAAAACAAAACAAAACAAAACAAAACAGGTAAATACAAATCAAAGAAAAATAGTTGTATCCACATTAACAGCAGACAAAATAGAGATAAGGCATAAAGTGTTATTAGTGATAAAAATATACTATATTAAAATGTTTATTTCACTAGAATATAAAAGAACTATTGCCAGGCCAGTGTGGCTCAGTGGATTGAGCGTTATCCCATGGACTGATAGGTCCTGGTTCAATTCATGGTTGGGGCACATGCCCGGATTGTGGGCTCGATACCCAGTTGAGGGTCGTGTGGGAGGCAGCTAGTTGATTTGTCTCTCTCACATTAATATCTCTCTCTCTCCCCCCTCCCCCCCCTTTCTCTCTCCCTCTCCCTCTCTTTCCTTCCCTTCCACTCTATCTGAAGAGAAATGGAAAAATATCCTCAGGTGAGGATAAAAAAAAATAGACCTTGGCAAAACTGACCAAGGAAGAAATAGAAAACCTGAAATAGAACTAATACCAGGACTGATTTTTAACCAATATGCACTAGTTCAGCTGAAGTGGTTTTTTAAAGATTGAACTTCTATAATAATTGATAAATGGATACTATCCTGAATCACCCCCAGGTGTCATATCCTGGCACCTTCTGTCTAGCCACACCCCTCTTCTAGGGATATCTCTCTCATGATCTTGCTATGATCAAGTAGCCAGTCCCCTTACACAGTAAAGTAAATCCAGGACCCATTTCTAGCAGTGCTATCAACATCAATTTTGGCTGCTAGTTTTCACACAGTGCTGGTTACTTCAGTATTCTGAATATTACCTCTGCCAGAGCCATTAAAGAAACTGAAAAAATCAATTTAAACCTATCTACTAATAAAATAGCAGGCCTATCAGTTTTATAGGTGACTTCTATGAAATATAATGAAAACACAGAACATTCTAATTTTATTAAACTTCATATTTCGGAAAAAGGGGGAATTGTCCTTACCTCATGTATGAAGTTAGTATGATCTCGATAAAGATAATATTAGAAGAAAACAAATAAAAGGTCAATATGTAATATAATGTAGATATAAATATTCTAAATAAAAGGGAATTGGATTCTGTAAGATATTAATCAAAATCTCATGAACAAGTTGGCTTTATTCAAGGAATGAAAAAATGATTTATCAATAGACATCCTGTTGATATGGTTTATCACACTAACAGATTAAATAGATAAATCCATATGATTGTTTCAACTGAGGAATAAAATTCAACATTCAGTCATACTTAAAAACAAAACAGGGGCATTATTACCAACTTTATAGAGATTAAAAGAATTATAAGGGATTTTTTTTTTTTAATCCTCACCTGAGGACACATTTTTGCATTTTTATCTTCAGATAGAGCAGGAGGGAGAGAGGGAGGAAGAGAGAGAGAGAAACATCTATGTGAGAGAGACACATCGAGTGGCCACCACCCACATGACCCCAACTGGGGCTGGGGACAAACTGCAGCTGAGGTACGTGCCCTCAGCGAGAACCAAACCCAGGCCTCTCTGATCTGCGGGCCGATGCTCCAACCGCTGAGCCAAACTGGCCAGGGCAAATTATAAGGGAATTTAATGAACAACTTTATGGCAATAAGTTAGACAACTAAGACAAATACCTAGAGAGTTATAAATTATTTAAACTCACCCAAGATCAAATAGAAGAGATGTAGACCTAAACACCTATAGCAAATAAAGAAATGGAATTGGGCCCTGGCCGTTTTGGTTCGGTGGTTAGAGCATCAGCCTGCGAACCAAAGAGTCCGGGTTCATTTGTGGCCAAGGGTAGGTACCTCGGTTGGGGTTCATCCCTGGCCCTGGTTGGGGTTGTGTGGGTGGCAACAAATTGATGTGTCTCTCTCACATAGATGTTTCTCTCTCTTTCCCTCCTACTGTGTCTGAAGATAAATGTAAAAATATCCTCGGGTGAGGATTAACAAAAAAGAAATGGAATTGGTAATATTAAAAATCATCCCACAATCTTTCACAAACTCTTCCAAAAAATAGAGAACACTTCCTAACTCATTTTATGAAGATAGTATTACTCTGATACCAAACTAGACAAACATAAGAATAGAAACTACAGACCAATATTCCTCCAAAGAAAAGATTCAAAAACTTCAACAACGTGTGTGTGTGTGTGTGTGTGTGTGTGTGTGAATGATTATATGTCATACCAACTGAAATTTATCCCAGGAATAAAGGGTTGGTTTAACATCCAAAAATTAATCAATGTAATATATCATATTAATAAAGGTCAAAACCCATATATATGGTCATCTTAATGAAGGCAGGAAAGCACTTGACAAAATCCAACACCCATTTGTGATAAAACTAGAGATAATAGGGAACTTCTTCAACCTGATAAAAGACATCTATATCAAAACCTATGGCTGCCCTGGCCAGTTTGGCTCAGCGGTTAGAGCATTGGCCTGCAGTCCAGAGATACCCGAGTTCGGTTCCCACTAAGGGCATGTACCTCGGTTGCAGTTTGTCCCCGGCCCTGCTTGGGTCGTGTAGGTGGCAGCCACTCTATATGTCCCTTTCACGTCAGTGTTTCTCTTCCTCTCTCTCCCTCCCACTCTATCTGAACAAAAAAATGGAAAAATGTCTTCAGGTGAGGATAAAAACAAAACAAAAAAACCTATGACTAAAATCACACTGCATGCTGAAAAACTGAATGTTATTTCCCCTAAGACTGGAAACCAGTCAAAGATATCTGCTGCCACCACTTTTATTCAACATTGTACTGGAGTTACAATTGCACTGGAAA